GAAGAGCAGTATATGTTGTGAATAATGTCAGAAATGCCTTGGAAGTAGCTTTTAGGTAGTTGACCAAACCCCATAAACTAAATATATCTTTAGTTTTAAAATAGAAGCTGATTTATAAACCTTATAAATGGTGGATAATTTAAATACTTTGAATCATCTGCAGGATAATTTCTTTCCATTCTATCCATAATATCAAACATAATATATTATTTTTATATTCCTCAGGTAGAATGCTTATTTTTGTGTGCCCAACATGGATAAAGTGTAACACTTCCTGTAGTTTTTGAATAAAGAATTTCTATTTACCTAGTAAAGAGATTCAAGAGGTCTCTTTTCTCATCATAAAATGCCATGATTTCTATTAAAACCCTCTAAACTAAATTAATTTAGGTTTGTAAACAACTTACATCCAGTAGTTACTTTTAATTTTCCTGCAGCACTTGGTATTTTATCAAGTGCCACATTTAATATATATCTATTTGTTATATTTCACAGGAAGGGAAAGGAAAGGAAGGGAAAGCATGGCAGATCAGTGAGCACTTGCGTTCAGCAGGGAGGCATGTGGCGTCATGATTCATTTCAATAAATTTTTCTGTCCCTGATTGTACTTTCCAAGATGAGGCAAAATAACTTTGATCATAATTTCCAAAATGATCCAATATAGTTTTATTGTATTGCTCTTCATTAGGAAAGTTGAAGATTCATTTCAGATTTTAATTATTAAATGCTAGAATGACCAAATTGCAGACTAATTGTTTCCATATTGTACTTAAGAAAGGAGTTTTAAAACTGAAAAAAATAAAGATGACTATACAAAATCAATGTTATTTATTGTACCTCTGGGCCTACTCTTCCAAAAAAATGAGCTTATCAATTTTTTTCTCTGTCAAGCTTGAACTAATGTAAATAATTGAAATAATGTAAAGTTATATTTTCATGTTTTTATAGATACAACATGACAAGAATACATAATGTAAGAGTATTTCAACTATGGATAATATTGATGGGGTAATGCACATATGTTACAAGCAGTTACCATAGTTTAATATCCGTGTAACGGTGCATCAATATATTGCTATATAAACATGTCTGTGTGCATCTAAGTGAAAAGTGGCCAAACAAGAATGATGACAGCCGTCTAAAGGTTTTTTTATTCATTTTATATAAAAACTGTTATGGAAAGACCAAAATGTTTATGAACTATTCTTATGTGAATTTACAAATGTCCTTTACTGTACCTTTTTGTTTACAATATAACTCCTTCTTTTCTGCTGTGTTAAGTGGGTGTCAGTCTCCAAAGAGACATACCCTTTCTACAACTTCTATCGAAGATATTGGGATTTCCAATTTTTCATGTGTAGTATGTCAGAAAAAAAAATGCGTTCGGTTTTCTTTTTAAATCTAACATCAGATGGCTTTTTTGGAGTGTTGTAAAATCTTCAATCATACATAAAATGTGTTCTTACAAAAAGTCAAGATCTTTATTTTTCTTATTTATAAATACTCCAGACTAACAATAATGCAAAATTTAAGAAGTTTGGTTAACACACTTCCTTCCTGTGAAAGAAGACATCTTTGCTCAGCTTATATATCAGGGAAGTACAGATCGAATAGAAGAAAAAGACCATTTTGTGAGCTACAAAGACTACATTATAGAATACCACACCTATAACCACCAGGTGTTCTGAGCATTTCTAGCACTGCAGCTAACTATCATGATGCTCATTATATAAAAGCCATCCTCTGGTGTTAAAATGACACATTATAGCACAGCAGCCCCGATACTGTGTACTGCCAGCTCCTCAGCCATGACAGAAACATTTCTTGCTTTACAATTTATTTCTTGAAAACATTTGTCCATTTAATGTTTTTACTAAAAGACTATGAATGAAACTAAAACTGCCATTTTAGGATTCTTACAAAGCTTATTATTTTAATAGTTAATCCTATTTACATATATTTTTACAATTATGACATTTCAGTCGCTCAGAATCACACATTAATTTTTTTAAGTTTTATGGATTTAGATAAATTTAATGTTTAACATGTGAATACACCTATACATCTGCTTAAAATTCTTCCAAATCTGCAATTACAGTGAATAGTCTGCTGGTCATGTAGCTTATCCAGTAAATGAAGAACACTAAAATGATAATCCTAGAGAATAATTCTTTTCTGGCACTGGCATTTGAACGTAGGACCTCACATTTTCCCTTAATTTATTTTGCACAAGGCCAGTACTTTACCATTTGAACCACATCTGATGTCTGCTTTTTGTTGGCTAATGGGAGATAATGCCTCTGATTTGTTTGCCCAGGTTGGCTTTGAACTAAGATCCTCAGATCTCAGCCTCCTGAGCAGCTAAAATTGCAGGTGTGAGCCACATATACTTGGTGGTACACGATAATTTCTGGCACCACATCTTTATAATATGTGTCATTTTAAGAAAAATTTTTGGACATTAATTTGAATAAAATGCAATCTGATTTCTCCTTTTCATTCTTTACCGCATCATATCTTAGGGAACTTGTCAGGCAAGTGTAACCTAATAACTCAAGTACTGCTTCTGCTTTGGAATGTCTTTCTGTGTCTTTAAACTTGTTTTCTGCTGATAGAGTTGATTATGCATTACTCTTATGAGAACTCAAAAGTCTATCTTGGAACAGGAAGTATAATTCATCTAATTTCCTTTTGTTAAGTGAAATGAGTAGGTATATTGATTTGAAATCATTAAAAAATGTGGCCCATTTTGTCAATTGCGATTGGTAAGATAATTATTATTTATAAGAGTATAAATTTTGGGAGGGTTATAGTTTTTGTTTCATTAATTTTATATGAATGAAATCACAGGAACATGGTTAAAACAATAGCAAAGAAATGTAAATATAGAGCAAAGATGGAAGCAGTTCTGACACCTAACACTGGTTAAACTATGAGAGATGGGTAAGTATAAATGAATCACCACAATATTCTCCATGGAAACTGTGGCTGACTAAATGGGTTGTAAAAGTTAAAATCCAATTTTTTTAAAGTCGTTAAGAGTTTTAAAGTCCTAACGTGCTGTTTTGGCTAACGTGACAGTAGAAATTTATTAGGTACTAATCAGAAAATTAGATTTTGTTTTTGCTTTAAAACAACTCATAGTGAATGGTACTCTAAGCAGTTGAAGATTAAAATGTATTTACATAAACATGATAACTAATTAAGATTTCCTAAGATCCAAAGCAGATAGGAAAGTCACCTGGATCATAACAAATTTGGACATATGTCCTATATCTATTTCCATATAGTCTTTTCTTGCCTTTTCTTTTTCATCATTTTCTTGCCCTTAAGTATGTTTTCTGTATTCCCAGATTATACTTCCCATTGTATCTCATGTTTAATTACTTTCATCTTGCTCCCCCTTCACTCCTATGGGTTCTCATCTTCTTCTGGACTGTTTTTCATGAGAGATTTGGGATTGCAGTTCACTTTGTCAAAAACAGGACTGGAAACTTCAAAGGCTTCTCAAAAGCTATATTAAATGACAAGGAATTACTTAGTGAAATAAAAATTTCCTGCTAAGCTCTATTTCTACTTCATTCACATATTCTATATCATTTACAGTATTTGTCATCAGTGTGTTATACTTCACCTTGTACTTAAAGAACTTTTCCAATTTGTAGGGTTTCTGGAGAAAACGGAGACTGCTTGCTGAAGAAGAGAAAAGACTATTTATAATGCCTGCTCATGAAAATTCCTTTCTAAAGACACTATATTGAGCACAAGCCAATTCTCAATTCAGTTCCCAAAGCACTTCTATGTTGTTCCTTAATTGTCTTTTGTCCCACTAGGTATAAGGTAATTTTGCTATTTCAGAGCCAAATTCCTTTTTGGATACCCATAAACTCACCACTACTGGTTATGTCTAAAATTCACTTCCTCTTCCCTCCCTCCCTCCCTCCCTGCTTTCCTCCCTCTTTCTCTCTCACTTCATTCTTTCCTTCCCTTCTTTTTCTTTTTT